CTTGGATATTGATAATCGATTAAGAAAATCGATTACTTAGAGCATTTATCATAACAATAAAATTAATTTAATTTTAGATATTGCTTATCAAAGAAATTAATAAATATAATTTAAAGAAATCGATAATAATCGATTATATGCAATATCTGAATGCCTACACTATTAATCGATCATACAATCGATAATTAGCAATAGTTAAGTGACTTTTCCCATCTCTCTGCCCTTCTTACCTGTCCATTGACGCCCTTGTCCTCATCTGTGGCCACAACCTTGATAACTGGACTGCCATTGGGCGCACCCTCCTCCACTTTGGGATAGTAGGTGCCGCAATCCTTGAACACCGGCTTATTGTCGTTTACGTCCGTGATGAACACAACCACAACGGCCGTGGAGGTGTGTATGGTCTGATCGCCGTTGACGCAACAGCTGCCATCGTCCATGGCCGTAACATTCAGCTCGTACTTATCGCGATCGAGGGAGATGGCCTTATTATGGAGTCGTATAACGCCCGTAATGTCCTCGATGACAAACTGGCCGGAGGAAGTGCCGCCGCCGACAAAACCAAAGCGCACATTGTCGCCATCCTTGTCGGAGGCCACGACAGTGGTGACCAAAGTATTCGGACCCGCATTCTCGTCCACATTGGGCGTGTAAACTTGCTGCGAAAACTTGGGCTCTTCGTCGTTCTTGTTCTTGGTGTAGACGCGCACGGTGGCTGTGCCCGACTTGGCCGGCTCGCCCTTGTCCTTGGCCGTGACTATGAACTCGTAGTAGGCATTGTTGTTGTCCGCATCCAGCTGCTTGTTGTTCACAATGATGCCATTCGAGTCGACAGCGAAATGATCATCCGAGACGAGGTACTCAATCTCCGCATTGGCGCCCGAGTCCGCGTCCATGGCCTTCACGCGCAGTATGCTGGTGCCCAGCGGTATATCCTCGTCGACATTGTGCGCCTGATAGTCGGGCAGCTCGAATTTGGGCGCATTGTCATTGACATCGGTCACACGTATGGTTAGCTGCAGTTGAAAGATTTGCAAATGAAATTCATGTCGGGATGTGAGCTCTGATGGTTATGTTTACCTCAACGGATGTGGAGAAGCCGCCCGAGTCCTCGGTGGCTGTCACAATCAGCGTATAGACGTGCGGCTGTCGCAGGTCCTCAAAGTCCAGCTCCTTGGCCAGCTTGACAATGCCGGATGAGGGTCCAATGTTAAAGGTGCCAGCGCCCTGGCCCTGCGCCTTCAGCGTATACCGTATCTCTCTGTCCGCAAAGGACTTGGCCTTAACCGAAATGATGCTGCAAAAAGACAAGCGGAGGGTGAGAGAGCGAGTGAGAGGGAGAGTGAGAGTGAGAGAGAAACCACAAAGGCGCGTGTGGATGTGACAGTTAGCGAATGGAGTTTGTGGTTGTCATGTGTAAAATGCATGCATATACATATATTATATAGATATACACTGCGCGTCATCAGTTCATGCTCTAGG